TCTTCTTCATTTTCTGAAGAAGGGTCTAGGCCCGAAACGTCAGCCTTCCTGCTCCTCTGATGCTCCTTGGTCTGCTGTGTTCATCCAGCTCTACACCTTGTTATCTCAGATTCTCCAGCATCTGCAGTTCCTACTATCTCGGAATCCAAAGGCTATTGTGCATTCTTTGGACAAGACCCAGTCCTTCCCTGGGACCATTTTCTTGGGCTCACCACAGCATCTGATGGGGATGGTCAGGTCAATGGGTGGAATAGCCTAGTGTGACAAGAGGCTAAATGAGGTGTTCACAATGGTGTCCAAGAGACAGAGACAGAAGAATAACATTGAATGATTGTAAAGTACCAGTACAAAAATGAGGCTGAGAAGGTCCTTTGGAGAAAATGCTTCCACTAATTCCATTAGAATATTCTAGTCACCATGGCATAATTGAACCTGCAAGTCACACAACTGCTTAGGAAACAGTCACCGTCTGCTATGTGTAGTTGCTGAGCAAGGTCGGGGGCAGGGGCGAGTGTGTAATAGAATATCCAGCAGCAGGTGATGATGGTGAGAGAGGACACTGAGGTGAGCAGCTGCAGCAGTCGATCTGACCCTCTCTGAAGAAAAGGGAGCTTTAGGTGGAAGGAAGCTTCATGAAAAAGGATCAGGCAGACAAGTTCCTCAACCAGATGTAAACTACAGGCTTAATGCCATTTAAATACTGTCTTCCTTGTTTAACCTGAATTTTCCCTCAGGTTTATAAAGACCTGATGTCAGTGGAATAAAGAATCCATGCTTCATGATCTTTGGGCTGTCCATGACTTAAGAGGGAAATCAGGAGGGCAAAAAGGGGACATGAGATATTCCTGTCAAATAGGGCTTCTACAAATACATTAAAGACAAAAGGGTAACTAGGGAGAGAATAGGGCCCCTTAGAGATCAGCAAGGCTGCCTGTGTGGAACCACAGGAGATGGGTGAGATACTAAACGAGTGTTTTGGCATCAGTGTTTACTGTGAAGAAGGATATGTAAGATATAGAACGTGGGGAAACGCTAGGGAAGTGATTGCTGCACCCCTTGCTGAGATATTTATATCATCAATAGCCACAGGTGAAGTGCTGGAAGACTGGAGGTTGGCTAACGTGGTGCTACTATTTAAGAAAGGTGGTAAGGAAAAGCCAGGGAACTATAGACCGGTGAGCCTGACATAGGTGGTGGGCACGTTGTTGGAGGGAGTCCTGAGGGACATGATTTACATGTATTTGGAAAGGCAAGGACTGATCCGGGATAGTCGACATGGCTTTGTGCGTGGGAAATCATGTCTCACTAACTCGATTGAGTAACGAAGACGATTGATGAGGCAGAGCAGTGGATATAATCTATATGGACTTCAGTAAGGTGTTCGACAAGTTTCCTCATGGTAGACTGGTTAGCAAGGTTAGATCTCAGAGATTAGAGGGAGAACAAGCAATTTGGATACAGAACTGGCTTGAAGATAGAAGACAGAGGGTGGTGATGGAGGGTTGCTTTGCAGACTGGAGGCTTGTGACCAGCGGTATGCCACAAGGATCGGTACTGTGTCCACTGCTTTTTGTTATTTATTTAAATGATTCAGATGTGAACATGGGAGGTATGGTTAGTAAGTTCGCAGATGACACTAAAATTGGAGATGTAGTGGACAGCAAAGAGGGTTACCTCAGAGTTCAGTGAATGTTGATCAGCTGGGCCAATGGGCTGAGGAGTGGTGGATGAAGGTTAATTTAGATAAATGTGAGGTGCTGCATTTTGGAGAGCAAATCATGGCAGAGCTTACACATTTAATTGTAAGGTCCTGAAGAGTGTTGCTGATCAAAGAGATCCTGGAGTGCAGGTTCATATTCCTTGAAAGTGGAGTTGAAGGTAGATAGGATAGTGAAGAAGGTGTTTGGTATGCTTGCCTTTGTTGGACAGGGCATTGAGTATAGGAGTTGGGAGGTCATTTTGTGGCTGTACGGATATTGCTTCAGCCACTTTTGGAATACTGTGTGCAATTCTGGTCTCCCTGCTATAGGAAGGATGTTGTGAAACTAGAAAAAGTTCAGAAAAGATTTACAAGGATGTTGCCAGGGTTGAGGGTTTGAGCTATAGGGAGAGGCTGAATAGGCTGTGTCTATTTTCCCTGGAGCATCAGAGGCTGAGCGGTGACCTTAAAGAGGTTTGTAAAGTCATGAGGAACATGGATAGGGTAAATAGACAAGGACTTTGGGATGGGGGAGTCAAAAAGTAGAGGGCATAGGTTTAAGGTGAAAGGGGAAAGATATAAAAGGGACCTAAAGGGCAACTTTTTCATGCAGAGGGTGTGCGTACATGGAATGAACTACCAAGGGAAGTGGTGGAGGCCGGGATGATTACAACATGTGAAAGGCATCTGTATGGGTATATGAAGGGGAAGAGTTGAGAGGGATTTGGGCCAAATGCTGGCAAATGGGACTAGATTTATTTAGAATAATGTATCTGGTTGGCATGGAGAAGTTGGACTGAAGGGTCTGTTTCCATGCTGTATATCTCTATGACTCTGTGTGTTCAAATCTCATGTTACATCATTAATGCAACTGTACAAATGTTGACTTAAATGATATTTTCATTCCCTATTCTGTAATAATATGCACTCTTTTCTTTTTAGGGGATGACATTAAAAGTGATGGTTTTAGTTTGGAAACCTGTCGAAATATAATCAGTCTGTTGGATGTATCCTTTTAAATGACTCCATGTGTGGCCATAAGACAGGAACAATAGGCAGCTCGGCTCAACTGGTCTGTTCTGCCATTAAATTAGATTGTGTATGACCTGTTAATCCTCAACTCCACTTCCCTGCCTTTTCCCCAGAATCCCTGATTCACTTACTGATTAAAAATGTATCTTAGCCTTGAATGAACTTAACTTATCACTTACTGCTGTAAAGAATTCTACAGGTTCATGACCCTCTAAGAGAAGAAATTCCTACCCATCTCTATTTTAAATGTGCAACCCTTATTCTGAGATTATTCCCTCTGATCCTTGACTGTCCCACAAGGGGAAGCAACCAATAAGCACAAGTCCAATCTACTCAACCTGTCTTCACAAAACAGTCCATCCATGTCCGGGATCAATCTGGTGGACTTTCCTCTGGACTGCCTTCAATGACAGTACATCTTTCCTGAGATAACTGGCCCAAATCTGTCACAGTGTTTCAGCTTTAGTCTGACTAGTGCTTTGTATCATTTTAGCAAAACCATCCTAATTTTATATTCTATTCCCTTTGAAATGAAGGCCACTATTCCATTTGCCTAGTAGGAGCAAATTACTGCAGATGCTGGAATCTGTACTGAAAACAAAAAGTGCTAGAGATCACAGTGGGTCAGGCAGTATCCATGGAGATAAAGCAAGCCGACGTTTCAAGTCTAAATGACTCTTTTATCTCTTCATTCCCCACTGCCTGCTGCATTTGTATATTAGCTTTTTGTGATTTATTCATGAGTACTCCCAAATCCCTCTGTTCTCATGCTTTCTGCAGTCTTTCTCCATTTACATAATACTCAGTTCCTCTATTCTTCCTGCCAAACTGGATAACCTCATATTTTCTCACATTAAATTCCATCTGCCAAGATTTGCCCACCTGCTTAACCTGTCTATATCCCTGTGCAGACTTCTTGTGTCATTCTCACTACTTTGCCTTCCGAGCTATTTGTGTGTCATCTCTTAAACTTGCTGACAATACATTCACTTCCTTCAGCCAAGTCATTAGTATATGTTGTACATAATTGTGGCCCCAGCACTAATTCCTGGTGGTATACCACCAGTTATAGATTGCCATCCTGAAAATGCCCTCTTATTCCAACTCTTTGTCTTCTATTAGTTATCCAATTCTCTATCCATGTTAATAAACTACCTTCAAAAGAATGGGCTCTTGTCTTGTTAAGTAGCCTTGTGTAGTATCTTATCAAATGCCTTCTGAAAATCCAAATATTTTGTAACTGCTGCTTCCCTATTATCTATCCTACTGTTTCTTCTTCAAAGAATTCTAATAAATTTGTCAGGCATGATATCCCCTTCATGAAGCAATGCTGATTCTGCTTGATTATATTATATATTTCTAAATTCTCTGTTTTTGCATCCTTTATCATAGGCACTAGTCACAGTAGTTCCCAGCAACAGAAATTAAGTTAACTGGCCTATTGTTACGTGTTCTTTTGTCTCCTTTTCTTTTCGTATAAGTTCATGACGTTTGCAGTTTTTCAATCCTCTGGGACTTTTGCAGCATCTAAGGATTCCTAGAACATTAATATCAGTGCATCCGCTATCTCCCTAGCTACTTCTTAATATCCTAGGATGCATCCCGTCAGGTCTCTAAGACTTAGCCTCATTTCTTTAGCCTCATTAGTTTCCTGAGTACTTTTTTCTAATGATTGTTATTGTACTTATGCTGCTGTTTGGTTACTTAGTATTATTGGAATATTATTAGTGTCTTCTACTGTGAGGACTGTTGCAAAATATCCATTCACATTATTATTATTTCCGCAACCTCATTGTCGAAGGGGCTCAAGTTCATTTTGGCTTCTCTTTTCCTTTTCATATGTTTAAAGAAACATAGAAACATAGAAAATAGGTGCAGGAATAGGCCATTCAGCCCTTCAAGCCTGCACCACCATTCAATATGATATTGGCTGATCGTGCAATCTCAGTATCCCATTCCCGTGGCTATCCCCATACCCCCAATCACTTTAGCTGCAAGGGCTATGCCCAGCTCCCGCTTGAATATATCTAACAAATTGGCCCAACAGCTTCCTGTGGGAAAGAATTCCACGGGTTCACAACTGAATGAAGAAATTCTTTCTCACCTCAGACCTGAATGGCTTACCCCTTATTCTTAGAAGAAGCTCTTGCTGTTCATCTTGATATTACTTGCAAGTATTCCCTCAAAGTTTATCTTCTCCCTCATTATTTTTTGGTCATCTTTTGTTAGTTTTTAGAACTTCCCCAATTCTCTGACTTACCACTAATCTTTGCCACATTGTATGTTTATTCTTTAAATTTAATGCTATCTTTAACTTTCCTGGTTAATCGCAATGGCTTATCTACTTCCTAGGATCTTTCTTTCTCACTGCTCTCTTTGTTGTGAGTCATGAATTATTTTCTTAAACACTTGCCATTGTTCCTCAACTATCTTTGCTGCTAAACTCCATACCTAATCCACTAATGCTAGCTCTACCCTCCTTTGTTTGCAATGAAGGTCAGCATTTATTTCTTCCTTTTTTAAAAAATATTTTCTAATCAACCTGTTCAAAAATGTTAATACACACTTTTGGAGCAGGTGGAACTTGAACCCATGTCTCTTCGCTCAGATCTAGGGACATTACCACTGTACCACAAGAGATCCTCAAAATTTATTTTAATCCTATTTCTTCCTCTTTCCTAGGCTAAAATAAAAATCAGAATGAAATTTAATTTGTGTCTCAATCTCTGAACATCCACTTTATTAATATTTTCTTGCCAAACTGGTTATCTGAATCTAGGCTTCTGCTATTGTCAGTCTTCAATTAGCTGTCAGGTGCTTTGCAGCAGCAATTTGGATTCATTTTTGTTTTTATTCCTGAATTTCTTGGGGAAAGGCTTCACTTCTCTGCTGCCTCTCCTGATGACCAGGTTGAGATTGTGAAATGAATGCAAGAAGTATGGTGTTCTATCATTATGTCACATGCTGGTGAAACTCCCTTACTTCCAAACAACCCAGCCATATGCAAGTCTCAACCCAGATATTGTCTGAGCAGATCATACCCAAATATAAGATGTCATTCATCAGAACTCATTCATCAGAACCAATAAAAGATGGGGTTTACTAAAATTTTTATATTTCTATATGTGAGGTACTTTCAAGTAGTTTTCCTGAATGAGAATTGTAAAACAGAAGGATGGATCTGGAAAAATTGGACTAGTGGAATTCAAAACATTTTGGATCAAATTACAGAAGATTCTGGTAAGTGTCCTGATTTGTGTCACCGTCTGTTGGGTTTTCCATTCGCAGATCAATAAACTGCATTTAAGGGCCTGTACTGCTCAGATAGTTCATCAGGTTAACTTAAATGAGGTCCAACCAAGACACTGTAGTCATTCTATTGGAATGGCCCCAAGAGGTTGTACACGAAAATCAACCCCAAGTCACAGCTGATCCTTGTAAAGAAATTTTTCAAAGCATGAAATGTGCACCCCCTGCTAGCCACAGGGAATGATGTTTAAAGAAACCAAACAAACAGGTGAACCTATAGTTTTGACTAAAAGGAGTGTTTGAAACTTGGAGAGAGTTTGTGTTTTTCTAATTGATTTAAAGTACATATTTAATAATAGAAAAATTGGAGACTGTGAGATAGCACTGTTTTATGAAAGTTATGGTGCTACACAGGAACTGCAGCTAACTTGATTCATCTCCGTGACCATAGTTATATTTGTTACGCTATGTTCCTTCTGATTGAAACCGTAGAAAATTGAAAGGTCTTTTATTTTTCATCACACAAAGTTTGACGTAAAGCTTAAAATAAAACTAGAAAAGCATGATTTTTTTTCTTTTCTGACACCCAGAGAATCTTTAAGAAGATGGATGTTGATTGCTCTGGTGCCATGAGTTCACATGAAATGAGAATGGCACTTGAAGAAGCAGGTAATATGTGAACAATTCATTTGCCCCCATCATCTATATGATACCAAAGTGCATTTGGAGACCATTCTGAGAAAGCGTCAGCTGACCTGAAACGTTAACTCTGATTTTTTCTTCACAGATGCTGCTAGATCTGCTGAGCATTTCCAGTAACTTCTGTTTTTGTTCCTGATTTACAGCATCCACAGTTCTTTCGGTTTGCATTTGGAGAACTGTTGTTTCTAGGGTATAAAATGCTCAATAAAAAATACTAAGCTGTCTTAAGAACACAAGAATTTTTAGAAACCCTAAAAAAAGCTTTTAGGCCCAAAAAGATCATCCTTGTTATCTCATCAACCTACTTTATGACTATCTTCTTCAGACAGTTCCTGATAAGTCTCAGCCTATATTTGCCCTTCCTTGCTTCATTTTCAATGGCGACGTTTCTGCAGGTGAAACAGAATTTGGCGCACTTGATCCCTACTCAATATTCCACCAAAATTATTTGGCCAACAATAGTGATATTCACCCGAAAATGAGGATGGATATATTTAAAAGTTGGTAGTAATGATATGGTGTTATCATGCCTGCTAATTTCCGTCTTTATCGTCTTGCTTAATATGACCTTGCTAAGGTCACTCCACCTTCAAGGAATTGCAGTGAAGGTTCACTAGACTGACTGCTGAGATAAGGAGATTGTCCTATAAAGAAGAATTGCATTGAAGAGGCCTACATTCACGAGTGTTTAGATCAATGAGTAGTCATTTCATTTTGAGGGCTTTTTAGGATAATGCTGAGAGGATGCTTACACGTCACAAAATAAAGGCTCAGTCAGTTAGGGTCGAGATGAGGAGAAATTTATAATATTAATTTATCTCAGAGCTGCAAGTGTCATTGAGTGCACTTAATCAGAGATTGACAGATTTTTGGATAGTGGGGCAATTGAGCAGTAGTAGTGCTAGCACTGTGAATACTCTTGTCAATTTTATATTTTGCATATTCTTGCTGTAGGAGCAGTTCATACTAATTGGGGGGAAAATTAGAACACATACATTAGAGCCAACTTTCACGTAGGTGGAATTGGAATTCTGTGGAACAGGAAAGTATTCTGCACTTAGGCACAGAGTATAATAAATAAAACAATTTGAAACAGACCATGTTGCTTCTTTCTTTGTTAATCTGGCAAACATCTATCTGGCAATGAGAATAGAATGGGAAAGTGTACCTGAGGTAGAATATAGACATGAACTCAGTGAATGTTGGGTAGGCTTGATGACTGAAGTACCAACTCCTTCTTCCTGTTGGCATACATAAGTATAAAATGGGCATCCAACTTTGCAGAGGAAATGGTGAGACTAATTGGAAGTGTTGATCAGTGTTTCAGGTAAAAGAATTCACAGAAAGATGATCTATATTGGAGTTTTTCTTTGAGGCACTTCACCCATTTACCCTATGGGGAAATGTAACTGTTTTCATAGACCTCCTGCCCTTTATGTATTAAATACAAAGGGTTTCCCAGTGGGAATATCCTTATATTTTTGTTGCTTGGAAGAACTTAGGAACAGGAATAGGCTATTCACATTCTTGAGTATGTTGCAACTTCAGCTATGTTCATTTACCTACTTTGGTTTCAGGCCTCTTAATACCCTTGACTAACAATAATTTATTCTAAAACAGTCCTCCATCACTGTACTCTTTCACTAGAAAAACAGGTCTTTGAGGTACTCTTGAGAGATCAAGGCTGTCCATTAAAGCACATGTACCTGATCCACAAACACAACTGCTTTAAATCTTTCTTTTGCCATATTAATACTTCTAGGTCCTTTAATACTACCTCTTCATCGTCAACTCCAAACTTTGCCAAAACAATGTCTGCATTCCCAATTAATTCTAGTCATAATTGTACAATGATGAGAAAAATGTGCACACAGAATGAGTTGTCAATAAAATTAACAAATGTATTGATATATCATTCTGGTTTTCTGCCCAGGTTTCACTCTGAACAACGCACTGATTCAGATCCTTGTTGCCCGTTACGCAAACAATGAGCTTCTCATTGACTTTGATAACTTTGTTGGCTCTTTAATCCGTCTGGAAACCATGTTCAGTAAGTTATTTGTCAAACTGTCTTCTGTTTCATTAAAATCCAAGTGCAATAACCATGTTGGATCCAACTTTCAGGAGCCCCTCTCTAGCAATATAAGAATAGAACCCATTGTGCTGAAAGTATACTGGCATTGATCAGAATTGGCTAATAGGCGAGAAACAGTGAATGGGGATAAGGGGTTCTTTTCAAGTTGACAACCTGTAATCAGTGGGGGTGCCACAAGGATCAGTGCTGGGACAACTGTTTATAACATATTAATAACTTGGAGGAAGGAAGTGAATGTACTATAGCAAAATTTGCAGATGACACAAAAATAGGTGGAAAGGTGAGTTGTTGATGGTGACACAAACAGAGATATTGATTGGTTAAGTAAGTGGGCACAAAATTAACAAATAGAGTGTAATGTGGGAAAATGTGAAGTTGTTCATTTTGGAAAGGAGAACAAAAGAACACTTATTTAAATGGAGAAAAACTGCAGAAACATGCAAGATAAAGGTACTTACGAGTACTTGTGCACGGAACACAGAAAGCTAGCATACAGGTGCAGCAGGTAATCAGAAGGCTAATGGAATGTTGGCCCTTATTTCAAAGGGATTGGAGTAAAGATTAAGGAAGACTTACTGTAACTGTACAAAGTGCTGGTGAGATTACATCTGGAGGAGTGAGCGCAGTTTTGGTCCCCTTGTCCAAAGAAAGACATCATTTCACTTGGGGTAGTTCAGAGAAAGTTCACTAGGACGATCTCTCACATGGAGGGATTGTCTTGTGAGCAAAGGCTAAACGCGTTGGGACTCTACTCACTGGGGTTTAGAAGAATGACAGGTGATCTCATTGAAGCATATAGGATTCTTAAAGGCTTGACAGGGTAAATGCTGGGAGAATCTAGGAGTAGAGGGCATAATCTCAGAATAAAGCGGTGCCAATTTAAGACTGAGATAAGGAGGAATTTCTTCTCAGAGGGCTGAGAGCTTTTAGAATTCCTTGCCTTAGAGAGCTATGTGGCAGAGTCCTAGTGTGTATTTAAGGCTGAGATAGATAGACTCTTGATCAGTAGGGGTAAAGATAGAAAACTTTAGACCTTAGAAATGGCACATCAGTCATGATCCTAGTGAATGGCAGGATAGGTTCGTGGGACTAAATGGCCTGTGCCTGTTCCTATTTATTATGGTCTTACGGTATAACAATAGAATTCTCATCAATGGACATTAACTATATCCTCTGCCAAATCACAAGGATTGATCACTTGAAATTCTGTAAGAATGTGAGAGGTGTTAACCCAACATCTGTAGGAAAGCCAGATGGCACCATATATTTGAGAGGAGAGAATGGAGGCCTAAGGTGGCTGAAATAAAAGATGAGTTTTAACGTCCTAACTGCTGTTAGTGGAGAGATTATCTAGGGCTACCAGCATTATTGAATAGAATTCAAAAATTGTCCAGGAACACACTGACATTCCCCAAACTTTATTCATCAGCAACCTATACTTGGGCTTTTCTTTGTCACACCAACAAGGTCTATTCCCCAGCTATAGGGCAATAAGCTAAGATTCATCACTAATTCTGACCTTACTGAAACCATTCGGCTCTCCCACCTACTTGAAGTTTGGCTCAGTTTTAAACTGCAATGGATTCTAATATAACGCGATAGTTGTGTTCCAGTGCAACATCGTGTTATAGAAAATCGCGCTATAGAAATAATGGGGCCTAAGGGAAAATTGGGGTTAGGGGCACAAAGGACACATAACAATTATATTTTCCAAAATTCTTCCTCACCTGTGTAGTTTCATTCTTATAGCTGCAGTTATAATGACAGTTTAATCAAACAGGTGATGCTGCAGAAAGGCAATACATTTACGACTCTGACCTTGTATTTACAATGAAGTGACAGCTGGGCTTTAAATAGAGTTCTTCTACTGGAAATCCCTGTAATGGTCAGTACTGCCTCTGGTGAGTACATCATAGTGTGAGCATGATCCAAAAGAGGGGAGTACTGCAAAATTGTGAGATTGATCTCACAGCCAGCAACCCTTCCTAAAACTCCCCTGAAATTGACACGTCAGCAAATTTTAGTAAAATTCCCTCCTCCATTTAAATGCTGATCTGACCCGACATTCCTTCGGCACAGTCTTCTGGATAGATTTTCAGATAAATGATGCAGAGGAACCTGACCTATCTTTCCTTTGTAGCCTGTTGGCATTGAAGTTAATTGTAGGATTAAATGTGTTGTGAACCGAAGTAACATTGTATTCAAAATAGTGCTGGAAAAGAACTGCATGGACTTCCTGCAGGTGTTCCGGTTTCCACCCACACTCCAAAGATGTGCGGGCTAGGTGGATCGGCTATGCTAAAATGTCTGTAGCGTTTAGGGATGCGTAGATTGGGTGTGTTGGCTATGGGAAGTGCAGGATTACAGCGCAAAGGTAGAGAGATGGTCTGGGTGGGATGCTATTCGGAGTGTCGGTGTGGACTTGTTGGACCGAATGGCCCGTTTCCCCAATATAGGGATTCTATGATTCTAGAACAGATTGTAACTTTTGGTATAAATGATTCACATGAGCAGGTTCAGAAGTTCTTACATATTAAACATGTAACAAAATCTAGGCAAATATACTAAATACAAAGGTGCATGTTTTAACAGCACTCATTGTTTTAAACTATATTTCATTTTTTACTTACATCAATTTAGCATTGGAGTCCATTCTTTTATTTAAATGAGTTGCATTTTTAAATAATGCTGATGTATTTAATGTGTTCAGCATAAACTCTTCAAAACTAAGACTCCACATACTTCCCTAATAAGACACTTGTTCTGTGATATTGTATTTGAGGCTTATGACATACAATCCATACTCGATGGAATCACATTATGCCTAACACAAGTTCGCATTTTAGAAATAGCGTTCCCTTTTTTGTCAATCATGTTATAGCCAATTCGCATTGCCAGAACGTGTTATAGCAGAATCCCCTGTATGCAGTAGAGAGGGCCTGAACTTGATTCAGCATAAAATGTCAATGGAAAGGCTAATTTGACAGGATATGGTTAGGAAGCTGATCAGATGCTGCCTGTTTTACATCCCTGTAAGTTGAATAATATATCTCAATGCAACTTTCCTATCTTGTCACAATATCCCTCAAATTTTTGTGTTTCCAGAAGTTAACAAGCTACGGAAACTGATTTAAAAAGTACTGATTTGAAGAAGATTTTAAAAAAGTGTATTCATCTTTGTATATATTTAATTGTTTATATTAGTGAGGCAACAAGGTTAGGAGAACTGGCTGCCAAGTGTCTGGGTCGCAAGGTCATCTATCTGCCTCACCTGGCTTTCAGTATAATTGGTGCAGCATCGAAGCTTGGATATTTGTCCCATTAGTGAACCACGAAAGGAACTTCTCTCAATTTGACAGAAGAGACATATTAGAGGAGATACATTCACCGCTAGTAGTGTTCAAGCATTGCCTGCATCTGCACCTGCACCTGCAAACAAGTGAATTATCCTCATCAATAATCCACAGTGATCTTATTTATAGCTCTAGTGTTCTGAACATGTTGCTCATGACATTATAGTGTGATTAAAATATTGGGAATGCAAATATTAAAGCTTTTATATAATTGCAGTCTCATTTTTCAGTACTTATTTGTCCCCTGGCCTTTTTTTTGTGGGGTAGGGAGTTGTGAAAGAGCGTGGTGTCAACTTTCTGCCTGTCCTGGTTGTAGTAGCTGCCTACAAATGTCTGCAAAACTGATATGTCACAGAGTGTTTGTGCGATATGGGTCAGCCAATCAGGTGCCAACAATTTTGAGATTACCACCCACAATATTCCCCTATTGTTCAACTGATACAAGTTCGAAATCCTCATCTAATTCCTTAAATTAAACCTATCAGGTGCAATTTACCTAGAAATGTGAATGTAAGGCTCCATTTCAAATGTATTTCCGTACAAGGAATCCGTCTTGCTGCTTTACTCAGTTACACTTTTTAGAGAACCGGTAGATCTGCAAAGATACTGAAGGAGCCAGCTGTTTAACTTTTCAAGAAAATTCACCTATCCCCAATCCTCATCTTGAAAGAAAGGTGATTCAGTTTTGAAATGGGCCCATTTGTTTTCTTGCTTTTTCAGGAATATTTAAGCAATTAGACCTGGATGATGAGGGATATGCTGAACTGGATGTATTTCAGGTATGTATTTGTGGTGGAAGTGAATCAATACAAACTCTTTGACATGTTTTACATACCCTGTTCCATGTTTCCTGACAAATGCAGTGAAAGTGAATTAGAGTCATAGAGTCACACAGCACGGAAACAGACCCTTCGGTCCAACTCTTCCGTGTCAGTCAAACATCCCAATCTGACCTAGTCCCATTTGCCAGCATTTGTTCCATTAAACCCTTCCCGTTCATATACCCATCCAGATGCCTTTGAAATATTGTAATTGGACCAGCCTCCACCACTTCCTTTGGCAGCTCATTCCATTCACACGCCACCCTCTGCGTGAAAAAGTTACGCCCCTCAGGTCCGTTTTAAATATTTCCCCTCTCTGGTTAAACCCATGCCCCTTGTTTTGGACTCTCCTACCCCAGGAAAAAGATCTTTGCTATTCAACCTATCCATGCCCCTCATGATTTTATAATCCTCTACAAGGTCACCCCTCAGCCCCTGATGCTCCAGAGAAAAAAGGCTCAGCCGATTCAGCCTCTCCCTATAAATGAAACTCTCCAGTGTCAGCAACATCTTTTAAATGTTTTCTGCACGGTCAGGTTTAACAACATTCTTCCTATAGAAGGGTGACCGGAATTGCAAGCAGTATTCTAAACGTGGCCTAACTAACATCCTGTATAGCCACATGACATCCCAACTCCTATACTCAATGTTATGACCAATGAAGGCAAGCATGCCAAATGCCTTCTTCACCACCCTGTCTATCTGCTGACCCATTTACAACAAACTATGCACCTGCACCCCTGGCTCTCTTTGTTCAACAACACTCATGTTGAGGTTGTACAGGATGTTGGTGAGGCCTCTTCTGGAGTACTATGTGCAGTTTGGTCACCTGTTAACGGAAGGATAGTATTAAACTGGCCAGGGTTAGAAAAGATTTATCAAGATGTTGCCAGGAATTGAGGGTTTGTGTTATAAAAATAGGCTGGCTAGGCTGGTACTTTTTTCACTAAATTATAGGAGGTTGAGGGGTGACCTTATAGAGGTTTATAAAATCATGAGGAACACAGAGAAGGTGATTAACAAAGCTGTTTTCTCTAGGGTTGGGCAGTTCAAAACTTGGGGGTGGCATATTTTTAAGGCGAGAGGACAAAGTTTTAAAAAGGACATGAGGGGCAGCTTTTTTGTTTTTAAAAAAGAACACAGTGGTTCATGTGCGGAATGAACTACCAGAGGAAGTGGTGGATGCAGGTACAGTTACAACATTAAAAAGACATTTGGATTTGTACATAAATAGGAAACATTTGGAGGTATATGGGCCAAACACAGGCAAGTGGGACGAGTTTAGTTTGGGAACATGGTGGACATGGACTAGTTGGACCGAAGGGTCTGTTTCCATGCTGCATGATTCTAATCACACTCCCCAGGATACGATTTCCCACACACAAAGCCATGTTGACTATTCTTAACCAGTCCTTGCCTTTCCAAATGCATATAAATCCTGTCCCTCAGAATTCCCTCGAACAGCTTACCCATCACTGATGTAACGCTTACTGGTCTATAATTCCCCGACTTTTCCTTACGGCTTTTTCTTAAATAATGGCAACCACATTAGCCAATGTCCAGTCTTCCGGCATCTCGTCTGCAGCTGTCAATGTTACAAATATCTCAGCAAAGGGCCCTGCAATCTCTTCCCTAGCTTCCCACAAAGTTCTGGGCAACACCTGATCAGGTCCTGGGGCTTTATCTATCTTTATGCATTTTAAGACTTCCAGCGCTTCCTCCTCTGCAACATGAACTCTTTTCCAAGACAGTTTTATTTCTAAGTTCCCTAGCTTCCATGTACTTCTCCACAATAAATACTGACAAAATATTCATTTAGTATCTCGCCCATTTCCTCTGGTTCCACACAGACGACCACATTGAGTCTTAAGGGGCCCTATTCTTTCTCTAGTTACTCATGTCCTTAATGTACTTAAGTCTTTGGATTCTCCTTAACCCTTTTGCCCTCCTGATTTCCCTCTTAAGTATACTCCTACTGCTGTAGGGATTCACTCGATGCTAGCTGTCTATACCTGACATACACCTCCTTCTTCTCGAACAGAGCTGGAATTTCTCTAGCCATCCAGCATTTCCTACAACTACCAGCCTTGCCCTTCACACTAACAAGAACGTTCTGACTGTGAACTCTCATTTCATTTTTAAAAGACCTCCCGTTTCCTAACTGTGCCTTTACCTGTGAATAGCCTCCTCCAAATCAACTTCTGAAAGTTCCTAATACTGTCAAAATTGGCCTTACTTCAATTTAGAACTTGAACTTTTTGATCAGTTCTATCCTTTTCCATAACGATGATCACATGATCCAATATTTCGGTTAATGCGTAGATACAAACGATCACTGTCAAAGACACTGACCTAATTAAAAGTTAGTTTGAAGCCAACTGCTCAGTATTCTATTGCTACTCACCAATGTAACTAGGGTGGGTGAGGGGGCAGCTCCAGAAATCATTGTTTAAAAACAGCTGTTTCTAGAAATTAGTTTTAATTTTTTGCATCTTGCAAAGCCTGCAACCTTGCACATAATGAGGGTGGTAAATACAGAAATTCTTTACTGAGTGTTTTCATTTGACTGGGCATATTTATTGGTCAGCTGTAATGAATTAGTGAGAAGAACTGCTGTAGCCTGATGGACGGGATTCAGCCGTACATTTCTACAAATCTTTACATTATCTACCTGACAAAAAAAACATTTTCTATGTTCAGAGTCAGAGCTATGCAATACAGATACCAGTAACTACCATACAGAGGGCTGGCAGATATGGTGATATTAGTTGCAGGTTGAAGCTTGACTTCATATGCTTTGCCGATCTTTTGGGTTGCTACTGTGGAGTAATATGGAGGATAATCTTTCTCGTAAAAGCATCAAGCAGCACAATTGCCAACATAGCTAACAAAAGAGAATTGACTTCAGAATTACAATTTCACCTCAATTCTTTTAGCTTCTTTATCTTTGCCTATTTCTTGTGCCTTTACCCCCAACTGTGATTCTCATTAATCTTCGTTAACGTCTCTTCTTTCCTCTCATCATTAATCCGCTTTTTAGACTCACTGTTAGTGCTAACAAGATTACCATAGAAATTGAGCGTAAACTTTAATTCCAATTTATCCAATTCAAGAAAGGGTTTGAAAAATATTTCTTAGCTCCACATGCTTAGTTTAACTTAGAATATTAGCTTTCAGTTTTACATGCAATGCTAAGAGTTCCTGTTTTAAATCAAAGTGATTTTTTTTTTGTTGGGAAATTCCTTAATGTACAAACATGATATAGTCTTCCTAATTTGCATTGTCTGAAATTCATTTACAATGATCTCATTTTTCTTTTCAGTGGTTGAGTTTGGTACTAAACTGATGTCCAGCTGCAAGAAGTCAGACTTTGGCCAATCAACAGACACTCACAGACATGTCTAAGCAATAAATGGAAAAATGGGAATTACTTATTGGCATCATGAATATGTATGGAGTGAGGGAATATGGTTGTTTGCTTTCTTTTAGTGCATTGCTGTCATGTACTTCATTCAACATTTTGGGTGGCAATGAATTAACCAATCAGAACTCATGTTCCTGAAGGATATTTTAATCTTTGTATAAGACAGTGTTTGGATTGCTGAGAATGTGTCTTTCATTACAATTATTAATCTGTTCAGTTTCTTTTAAAACCCAAAGCATTTAAACTTCACACTATTTCTTCTAAAAATAGGTCTGCAGATGCAGACATGAAGTCAATGCTGAGATCTGCAGATGAGGAGAATCAGGATTACAGTTTTGGATACAATATTTTAAATGCAAATGTAACATTCAAACTGAAGTGAAAAAACATGTACTTTGTTACTAATTAGGTACTCAAAGAATAGCGCCCATAATTGCTATCATTTATTTTAAAATTATAATGGATATGGATACTAAGTGGTTTTTGCAGAGCTGTGTGCTTAATATAATCAGAAATATTAAATTGCTTTTAACAAAAACTGTACCTGAAAATTAAACACAGTATGTGGGAAACTTTGGCTCATGATTTGTCAATTGCCTTTTTGTGGAAGCTCTCATATGACTTGATTTGGTTTTATTCTGTCATAGGATATGGGTGTTTTATTGCCAATCCCTCTTTATGCTTGAGGTGGTAATGAGATGGCTCTCGAAACACTGAAGACCATCTGGTGTACAGTTAGGAAGAGAATTCCAGGATAGTGATCCACCGCCTGAAGGAACTTTGAGGTCAGGATAGCACATAGCTTGGAAGGGAAGCTTCAAGCGCTGATGCATCCATGCAATTATCTTTGCAAACCTGCAACCTCTACCACTTAGAAAGTATTACCAAAGGAGCCTTAATGAGTCAGTGTCGCATGTCTTGTAAGCAATGCTAATGAAACCATGCCTCATCTCACTGCATAGTGGGAGAGAGTTATGGTTCAGGACAATACAACAAGATGTAATGGCATTCTAATTTCAAGGAAGGGTCACCGGACCCAAAACGTTAACTCTGATTTCTCCTTCACAGATGCTGCCAGACCTGTTGAGCTTTTCCAGCAACTTCTGTTTTGTTTTCTAATTTCAAGAACTACCATCTCCAAACATTTACTGGAAACAAGGCCTTACATAAAAATTCACTGACAACCAAGTATGAAATTGTGAAAGGGAACTGCTTATGCACTGGTTCAGAATCTAAAAAGGTGAGTGAGGTATCTGGCTCACTTAGGCTAACTGGGGATCCAGTAACAGCCAAAAATAAACTCAGCCTTTAAACCAAGCAGGATGCCCACTCCTGGAGTTCAAGGCATCTGGAACGATCTTGTAACCTCTCCAAATCAGCAATGTAGACATTAGTTCAAAGCGCAAAGTGACTAGTAATAATCTACAGATATACAGCTAAGGATAAGGACCAGCTTTTAAAATAGAGTGATTACGACCGATCACCGGGAATATCAGCACTTGTGCTGATGTCATCACTTCATTGTGCTCACATACCTCTGTACAACAGCTCAAGGGTAGGGCACTAAGGAGGAGCTCCACTGTTCCCAACACGTCACATACCTGCTGACCCCCCTCGCCATCACCTTATCCAGGTTTGTGTTGCTAACTTTGGATAGCGGTTGGAACAGTGCTGCAGCTTGGGCTTCACTATCTAAAGTCAACTCTTCAAAAGGCCTCACAATCTGACCCTCAGTATTCAATACAGGACATGATTCAGGCCAACAGGATTACAAGAAATCTCCAGCAGCACCATCTCAGAGTGGCTGCTGCATTGTCATTTCAGAGACAGAGTCATGAGATGTTAGATCCTTCTGTCCAATCATACATACCGACCAGACAACCTAGATACTTAATGTACTGTCCAATAAAGGCAAGCATAGCAAACGCCTTCTTCACTATACTATCTATCTGCAACTCCACTTTCAAGGTACTATGAACCTGAACTCCAAGGTCTCTCTGATTAGCAACACTTCCCAGGACCTTACCATTAAGTGTATAAATCCTGCCCTGATTTGTCTTCCTAAAATGCAGCACCTCATGTACCTAAATTAAACTCCATCTGCCACTCTTCAGCCCCATTGGCCTATCTGATCAAGATGCTGTTGTACTTGGAGGTAACCTTCCTCACTGTCCACTACACCTCCAATTTTGGGGTCATCTGCAAATTTACTAACCATACCTGCTATGTTCACATCCAAATCATTTAAATAAATGACAAATAGTGGTGGACCAGCATCGATCCTTGCAGCACACCATCGGTCACAGGCCTCCAGTCTGAAGAGCAATCCTCCACCTCCACCTTCAGTCTTCTACCTTCGAGCCAGTTCTGTATCCAGAATGGGCAATAAATGCTGCCTAGCCAGCGATGCCCTCACCCCATGAATGAATAAAAAAAGCCAACATCCAGTCTTCTGGTACCTCACCTGTGGTTATCAATGATACAAATATCTCAGCAAGGGGCCCAGCAATCACTTCCCTAGCTTCCCAGAGTGTTCTAGGGTACACCTGATCAGGTCCCAGGGATTTATCCACCTTTATGTATTTCAAGACATCCAGCACCACCACCTCTGTAACACAAACGTTTTTCAAGATGACACTATCTATTTCCCCATGTTCTACATCTTCCGTTATCCTTCTCCACATTAAACACTGATGCAAATTACTCATTTAGTATCTACCCCATTTCCTGCAGATCCACACATAGGTGGCCTTGCTGATCTTCAAGGGGCCCTATTCTCTCCCTTGTTACCCTTTTGTCTTTTATTTATAAAATCCCTTTGAATTCTCCTTAACCCTATTTGCCAAGGCTATCTCACGTCCCCTTTTTGCCCTCTGGATTTTCCTCTTAAGCATACTCCGACTGCCTTTGTATGCTAAGGATTCACTTGTCTCTGCTGTCTATATCTGATATATGCTTTCTTCTTGACCAAAATCTCAATTTCTCTCATCATCCAGCATTCACTGTACCTGCTAGCCTTGCCCTTCACCATAACAGGAACATACTGTCCCTGAACTCTGATCATCTCATTTTTGAAGACTTCCCATTTTCCAGCCATCCCTTTAACCTGCAAACATTTGGCCCCAGTCAACTCTTGAAAGTTCTCCTAATACCATCAAAATTGGCCTTCCTCCAATCAAGAACAACTTTTAGATCTGGTCTATCCTTTTCCATCACTATTTTAAAACTAATAGTATTATGGTTGCTGGCCCCAAAGTGCTCCCCCACTGACACGTCAGTCACCTGCCCTGCCTTAGTTCCCAAGAGTAGGTCAAGTTTTGCACTCTCTCTAGTAGGTACATTCACATACTGATACAGAAAATTTTCTTGTACACAAATTCTTCTCCATCCAAGCCTTTAACACCATGGTAGTCCCAGTTTATGTTTGGAAAGTTAAAATCCCCTACCATAACCAACCTATTTATTCTGAAAGATTACTGAGGTCTTATAAATTTAGTTCTCAATTTCCAGTTGTATGTGTGCCTGTGTGTTGGGGCGGAGTTGGGGGGGAGAAAGAGTTTGGGCAGTTTGTAGTACCATTGTAATAAGATGATCATTCCTTTCTTATTTCTCATTTCCACTCAACTTCCCTGGATATATTCTCAGGAATATCCTAAGTACAGCCATTATGTTTTCCCCAATCAAAAATGCCACTCCCCCTCCTCTCTTGCCCCTCTTTCTATCCTTACTAAAGCATCTATATCCAGGGACATTGAGGCACGTCTCTGTTATTGCTATGATATTCCCAATCCCATGGTCCTAACCATGCCAAATTCATCTGCCTTACCTGTTAGGCCTCTCGCATTGAAATAAATGCAGTTTAAGTTAATCAGTCGTGCCTCGTGTCTGATTTGTTCCTGACTGTTTTGATTTGCTCCTTTCCCCAACTGTACCAGTCTCAGACTGCTCTTCCCTCACTACCTCCCTGCCACCACCACGACCAGCCCCCCCACTCAATTACTAGTTTAAATCGTCCCGAGCAGGTCTAGCAAATTCCCCACCAGTATATCAGTCCCTTCTAATTCAGGTGAAATCAGTCCTTCTTATCGGGGTCACTTCTACCCCAAAAGAAACTCCAATGATTCTTCACTGCACCAACTCCTCAGCCATACATTCATCTACTCCATCCTCCTATTCCTACCCTCACCAACTCATGGTAGTGGGAGTAATCCAGAAATTACTTGAGAACCATCTTTTAAATTCCTGCCTTGCTATATTCTTTCCTCAGAATCTCATCCTTTTCTCTCCTATGTCGTTAGTTCTAATGTGTACAATGACTGCCTGCTGGTTGCTCTCCGCTTTGTTTCTGGTACCTCATTGCACATGCATGCTCTTTGCACCACCTAGTGGCATTTGCCATCTTTAAAAAAAGGCTTTGACCTTTCAGAAATTCCTGCGAAGGAAGGTTATTGGTTCTCCCCAGTTTCCTGTCTAGGAGAATGATCTGCTGTCTAACGTAAACTCACCTTTAATTGCATTAAATATTTCCCACAGATTGCTCATGATGCTATCTGCAAAATTCTGGTAATTTTTTTTTCCTCAGACTGACATTTCTAGAGAAAAAGGTACATTTAAAATATATTCTTTCACAGAATATGGCATTACTGACAAGGCCAGCCTTTGTTGCCCATCCCTAAATGCCCTTGAACTGACCGGTTAAGAACCAAGCACAGCGCTGTGGGTCTCAAGTTACATAGTTTGGCTTCTAAGTGAAGATTTCCTTCTCTAAAATGTCACTGAACCTGAAACATTAACTCTGCCTTCTCTCCACAGATGCTGCCACACCTGAGTTTTTCCAGCATTTTCTGATTTTGTACCCGAAGTCCCTTGCCCAAATGAGGTGGTTTAGCAGCAAATTAAGCTAGAAAGTGACTCATCACAGCTCTATAAAAGAGGATGCAAGTTCAATGAGAGGGAGACCATTCGAGTGACATAGAGGGCAATTGAGTATATCTGGGAATTTGGTTTGAATTGAGAATTCAATGCAGAGGGGCAAAGAGGTGATTTAATTTACTGCAAAAGGGCTGAGGGGGGAATCTGGTGGAGGGCAAGAGAAGTCATTTTTTTCTTCTTTTCCTTTAGTTCATTGGTGGGTAAGAAATTGATATTAGGAGCTCTCTCTAAATTGATGAGAATTAGAAAAGCATCTTTTTTAAATGTCCAAGGTGCGCTAATATTTAAATTGAGAAACATAGGAATAAGGGAAAGTCAGTGCCAATAGAGTAATAAGTAATCCAAAGCAAAATGATGTTCAACATAAGACAAGTAAACTTAAGATATGACAACTCCGTTCAGCTGAATGGAACACGTGACCTGTCACTTGTGAGAAATCAATGACCCTTCCAATGTTCTAGATGACCACAGAGTCAGAATCCCTATTGTGTTGAATGGCCTGCTTCCACACATCGAGTCTACACTGACCCTCCGAAGAGCATCCCACCCAAATCCCATAATCCTGCACTTCCCATGGCTAATCCATCTAACCTGCACATCCCTAGATTCTATGGGCCATTTTGCATGGCCAAACCACTGA